CGCACAGCACTCGTGCACCAGCACAGCAACAGCAACATCAACACACACCACAGACACACACAAATCACATCACACACACACACACAGCACATCAACAAAATCAGCAACAACAACACAACACAGGGCTTATCACTCAACACACACACTCCACACACAACACACACACACACACACCCACGCATGCTCACGCACGCACGCACAGCACCACACGCATAACAAACAGAAAGCGCTATACATTCTAATCGCTCTAATTTTTCTGCTTCTGTCTGTCTGTCTGCTTCTGTCTCTTCTCTCTCTCTCTCATCTCTCTTCTCAGTCTCTCGCTCTCTCTCTCGTCATCCGTGGGGGTCTCTTCTCTCCTCCTCTCGTCTCTCTCTTCTCTTCGCTTTCCTCTCGTCTCTTGCTCTCTCTCTCCTCTCTGCCCTCGATCTTCTCTATCTCTCTCTCTCCTCTCTGCTCCTTTCATCTCTTCTCTCTTCCTCTCCTCTCTCTCTCTCTCTCTCTCTCCTCTCTCGCTCTCTCTCTCTTCGTCTCTGTCTCTCTCTCGTCTCTCTCATCTCGGCTCTCTGTCTGTCTGTCCTCGCCTCATCAACTCTCCCTCTCTCTCTCGTCATAGACTCTCTTTTTCTCTCCCTCTTCCTCTTCTGTCTCTCTAGCTTAGTGTCTTAGCACCCCCTCTCTGCATTTGCTTACCCCGCGCTCTTGCCGTCCCTTCCTCTCTGTCTTTTTGTATTCGTCGCGCATTCATCTCTCTCATCGCTCTCCCTCCCAATCTCCCTACATTCCGGTCTCTCATGTCCCTTTTTGTCTCTGTCTGCCCTCTCTCTCCTCCTCCTCTTCCTGTCATCTCTCCCCTTCTCTCCTCTCCTAACCCGTCCTCGTCATCCTCGTCTCTTCTCTCTCACTCTCTTCTCGTCTCTCTCTTTCTCTCAGCCTGTGTTGTTGTGTGTGTGTGTGTTTAGTGTGTGTGTGTGTGTGTGTGTGTTGTTTTGTGTGTGTGTATGTGTGTGGATGATGTGTGTGTTGTGTGTGTTTGCGCGCCGCAGCTGCGCGCGTGTGTGTGTGTCTGCTCAGATTTGTGTGATGTGTGTGTGTGGTGTCTCTCTCTCCGTCTCTCTGCTCGTCTCTGCCTCTCCATTCTCCTCTTCTTCTCTCTCGTCTTATTGTCTCTTCCTCTCTTCTGTGTTGTGTTTGCATGTTTGTGGTGTGTTGTGTGTCGAACCATAGGAATGCAGTGAATTGCTAACATTCATAACATTAAGTAATAACTATGCTGTCTGCCAACTAGTGAAAAACGTCAATAATATTGAGGAAACAACCTCTTTCTTTGCTCAAATTTAATAAAAGCGATTTTCGAATGGACTAGAAGTCGAAAGCCTAAAATTATATGTTGCTTCTACATTATTGATTGGAATATTAAACAGGTGCAATTATAGACATTTCTATCCTGGTTACCCAAACACA